CGTAGGATTTGCACCAAAGCTAGCTGGATTTAAACGACATGCAGACTTAGCGCCTTTAGCGTCAACGCATAACTTTTGAACTCGTCCTCCGTAGGAGGCGGCGATTAGATTGATAAGATTAGATCTTAGAATCACCATCGCGGTGGGACGCAGGGTCTTTGCAAACATCTCAGAAAAAGACGCATGGCGGGTCACGTCCCACTGATGGGCAAATAGCGTGACTCCGAGTTCGGCGAACGTCCAGCCTTTGGGGACAGAATGCAGATATTGCGTGATTGATGCTGGATGTAGGATCAAGTCCACATAACATGTTGCGTCGCGATGAGGTTGGAGATGTGATGGGTGGAACACATTCAAAAAAGACGTAAAAAGTTAAGTGAAATCTTGTATGAAATGTATTCTAAAATAGCAGACACTTTTCCGTCCAAACGCCGTGACCGTGCATGAATCTACTGACTATCGTACCAAGCATCAACAATGCATTATACTCACCAAAGAAAGTATCGTCATATGACTGGAAATCCTATGGGTTGGTGGGAGGACATTACAGGGCAGTGGGTGAGGAAGGGTAAATCTTCAGGCAGAACACGAAAAAGCCCCCAGAAGCTCGCTTCAAACAGATGCGTTTCGGAACGTTGAAAAGCCCCCAGAACCCTCATCAGTCTTTGTGCCGCGAACACATTGGCCAGTCCTTGCTAGGACTGGCCAACTGTTTTGCCATCAAATCCCTCAGAAGCCAACTGGTATAGATCAAGACGCCAAGGTCTTTGATGTGAGCCCACTGTATCAAAAAGCCATCAGGTGCGCGCGCCTTGCATGACAAGGCGTCGGCCACAAGCCCTCGGTCCACGATGAAAGCCCTCAGGTACATCCGACGTCGCGAAGACGACGACGAAATGTTCTCAAGCCCACAGCAAGCGAAGAACCGGCCCCACTGATAAAGCCCTCGGTGCCCCTCACATGTTCGCTCCCACAGAGTATACATGCATAGCTTCCCATCCTTTAGTCAAAGGTGACCTTGGTGCCGGAGAAGCCACCACGACCACCGAAGCCGCCACGGCTTCCACCACGGCCACGACCACCCCGGTCGCCAAAGCCACCACGTCCGCCACGGCCTCCGCCGCGACCACCGCCACCACGACCACCACCGAAGCCACCACCACCGCGGCCACCACCGAAGCCACCACGACCACCGCCGCTCTGGGGAGGACGCTGGCTGGCAAAGTCAAGACGCACGCTACGCGACATGCGTCCGTTGCCAATGGAAGCGCCGTTCATCTCAGAGAAGGCAGTCTTGGCGTCTTCCACGGAGCTGAAGCTCACGTAGCCGAAGCCCTTGGGGTTACCGGAGTCACTGGGTCAGGTTAGCACATGGTCAATCTAAAGAAAGTTGTGCAACGTACGGATCGGTAGGCAGGCGGATGCTGGTAGGCTCAGCAGCCTCGCTGAAGAAGGCACGGACGGCGTCCTGGTCGACGTCAAAGGGCAGGTTGCCGACGAACAGGGTGTCCGACTCGGGGCTGACGCTGTCGCCGTGCTTCTGGGCGCGGTCGGCGGCGCGCGACTGGGGGTTGGCGTCGGCGGGCTTGGCGTTGGCGTAGTCGAGGTTGATGGCGCGGTTGTCAATCATCTGGCCCTGCATGGCCTCGTAGGCCTTGGTGCAGGCCTCGGGCGTCTCAAAGTCGACGTAGCCGAAGCCCTTGCTGCGGTTGTTGTTCATGCGGTCGGTGACGACGCGGGCGCCGCTGAGACCCTCAAACTCGGAGAAGGCCTGGTAGAGCATGTCGTCGTCGACACCCCAGCTAAGGCTGCCGGCGAAGAGAGTGGTGGGGGCGTTCTCGTCGACCTTGGCCTTCTTGGTGGTGGTGTCCTCTTCATCCTCAGCCTTGCGCTTCTTGGAGGGAGCGGCCTTGGTCTCCTCAGCCTCATCTGAGCTGTCGGCAGAGTCGTCGCTATCGTCACTGTCGTCCTCAGAGTCCTCATCAGACTCGGCCTGGGACATGTTAGCAATGGGCCTTGGAATGAGCGGGCGATGATGTACTGACCTTCTTGGCCTCAGCCTTAGCGGCAGGCTTGGCGGCCTCTTCGTCGTCGTCGCTCGAGTCAGAGTCATCCGAGTCCTCCTCGTCGTCGTCCTCAGAGTCATCGTCAGACGACTCCTCCTTCTTGGCGGCAGGCTTGGCCTTGGCGGCAGCAGCACCGTTGACCTTCTTGGCAGCGGGCTTCTCCTCCTCCTCCTCCTCCTCCTCCTCGGACGAGTCGTCAGAGTCGGAATCTTCCTCAGACGAGGACTCCTCCTTCTTGGCAGGGGCCTTCTTGCCGTTGGTCTTGGCAGCAGGCTTCTTGGTCTCCGCCTCAGACTCGGAAGAGTCAGAGCTATCAGAGGCGTCAGAGTCCTCCTCCTCCTCAGACTCGGAAGAGGAAGACTCGGGCTCGACAACCTTCTTCTTCTTGCTGGACTTCTTCTCCTCCTTCACAATGTTTTTGGCGGAAGCCTTGGCAGCGTCCTTGGACTTGACCTTGGTATCTTGCGAGACCTTGGTGACGCCGCCGTTCTTAACAGCCTTGGAAGGGGCAGCAGCCGCCTTCTTGCTTTCCTTAACCTTGCCCATTGTGATGGTTTGTGTGTGATTGGGGGTATATAGAAGAGGGTGAAAATGAAGGGGGTTTTCTGCGACGGGGAAAGAAGCAGAAAAAAAGTGCGATGCAAGAGAACAAGAAAAACTTCAGCTCTGCTCTCGTCTTAAGTGTGGGTGGTTGGGGGTCTTTTGGGGGTCCAGCCTGACGGCAAAAAAATCCCTGATTTTTTCTTTGCGACGACTTTTTTTTTTGCCCGCCTGCGCCGTGGTGGGGCTTTCCCGAAGGCGGTGAACACTGATGCGGAGGGTACGTACCGCGAGGCTGCCGCTTTGGCGCCTGAGCAATCAGGACGCAACAATTGGTCCCGGCGGCGGCTGTGAGCGCTGCCCTTCTGACGACAAGCGCAGGTACCATAGCACCACCAACTGCGACCAGACGACTTCCACCCATCCAATTGAAGCCGACGCCCTCACGAATCGACATCATGCCTACTCCCGAGTCCGAGAACTTCAAGTCGATGAAGCCCAAGGTCGCCCCCACCTTCAATGGCGTGGACTTTAGCGACCCCAAGGCCTTCAAGGCGGCCGAAGATGCCATCATCCGCGAGCAATGGGTCGGCGCCATGATGGTCCGTCTTGTTGGCGAGGAGATGAACAAGTGCTATATGCGTGAGGGTGTCAACCACCTCGAGAACTGCGGGCACCTACGAGGTAGGCAGCATTGGGACCTGCCATGCGGATAACACACAGACAGGCTAACGCGCCTGGACAGAACGTTACCTCCAGCTCCTGGCTGCGAACAAGATCAAGGGCACCAAGTTCCAACAACAAAACTACATGTCAAAGCAAGACGAGGCGGTCGACCTGGAGGCCAAGGTCCACCCCATCAACAGGATCGCTCAGCTCCAGGAGGACCCCAAGGGTGCGAGGCCCTAGGGGACTGGGATGACGGAGACGAAAGGACACGGCACTTGGAGGCAGGAATCGCCGGCTGCACCACAAAACGCTGGTAGCTGAGGCAACATGTACATAGAAGGCGACATTCTCCGGTGGAGAGAGGAAGTCAATGCATTGGGGCTGGCCGATGCCATGTACAGTCATTTAGAAGAGCATATGACATGTAAATCCTCATCCATCAAGCAGCGACTTGTGCTGCGACGGCTTTCATCACTTGAGCAGGGCATCCAGGTTTGCGAGTGCGTGGAACAATTCATCGACTTTTGGCTCACCATGCTTTGAAAGCTCGAGCGATCTCGTGACAGTGACAGGATGAGCTTCTAATCAAAGGTCGCATTCCAATTCTTTCTCGCTTGCTCAATGCAGCCTATCCCAACTGATATGAGACACAGACCAGACAAAGACATTAGAGAAACTGTCTACTAAAGGGTGCCTCATCCGAGTCCTCATCGTGTCGTGCATCTGCAAATGTCAGAACGAAGCTGTTCGTCCAAGACCCACCAAGATCGCGCGAACCCCCTGTGATTGGCCGCGGGCCACGCGACTCCCAAACGCCCAAAAACTTCAAATTACCATCGACCACAGAGCTCGTCCATCTGAACAACCCATAGATCCGCCACGATGCTCTGCACACGGTGTCTGCGCACTGCGCTTCCCTCGCAAAACGCCCTGCGAACGGCCACCCGCTACATCTCCACCTCGCGACCCTTCCTGAGCGAAGCAGCACCGCCACTATCGACGCCGATATCATCCCCCGGCGATGCAGCGCCCTCGGCCGCCCCCAAGATCTCCTCTTGCCCCGAGGGCACGGTGATGAAGGGCCTCAACTACCTGAAGAACGGACAGGACCCTGTCGCGATGAAGGACGAGGAGTACCCGGCCTGGCTATGGGAGTGTCTCGAGGTGACGCAGAAGACGGGGGCAGGCGAAGAGGATCTGGATGACGAGTTCTGTACGTGCTCTTCACACCCCGTGGCAGGGCCGAGACATGCGGATCTGCCTCTTTCACATGATGGGTAGTGCTAACAATACACAGCCAAGTCCAAGAAGAAGCGCAAGCAGGCTATGAAGCGCAAGCGTGAAATCGACGAGAAGCTCCTGGCCGAGGGCAACTTTGAGGCGCTCGAGCCCAAGGTGCCGCTGCAGCACCAGTCGGTCAACCTGCCCGGCAAGGAGGGCGGTTCCACAGAGGAGAACCTGGCGGCGAAGAAGGCGAGAGACGAGCTGATGAGGGCCATGAGGGTCGAAAGGAAGTCCAAGATCAAGGAGCGCAACTACCTCCAGTCCATGTAAAAGAGGAGGAGTCGAAGGAAGCGCTGTACGATGTATACCGGTCGGACTGTATTATTTATTTGTATACTTGGGTAGAGGGCGCACCATGGCATTGCGTCGCTGAAAAATCAAGTCCTTTTTTTGCTTGCCTCTCCAGAACGAGTTGAAAGTGGTAAAAGGTTTGCTACTGATTCTATACTGAACGTGCTCAATTGCAGGAACGCTATACGCCTATCTGCCAGACTCTCGTACACTTCGTGAACGAGCCACGCTTCTGTCCCTCCCGCCCTCGCGTCTCCTTTCCTAGTTGTAGGCGCTCAGATCTAGAGGGACACTGCTGCCTCGTCCCGCTCGGTACTTCTTTGGTCGGTTGACGTATTCCCTCGGCTTTGGCAGAAGGCTCTCGTCTTTAAAGTGCCACCTCGAATCGGTGATTGCGATTCTAGAGCCAGAACCACCACCACCACCGCTGGGACTCGGAGAATGGCCTTGCGGTGAAGGGCTGGGCGATTTGGACCCGTTGGCTGTGAGCGTGAACATGCTAGGGTCCAACATGGCTTGACGCAAGGAGGACCCCCGAGCTCTCGTCGGTGCCGCCTCAGGGGGTGGGGAGCTTGGCTTGGGTGGTGCTGGCGCCGCGGATGGCGGCGGTGGAGGTGGTGCGGGTGGTGCCGCGCTCGGGGCTGGCGAGGAGGAAGACTGGCCCGCCGCGCGGATCGCTGCCTGGGCAGCAAGTGTAGCCCCCGACTGTGACGATGCTGGTGGCGGAGGCGGCGGCGGCGGTTGCGCTCGAGGCGAGGGGGCAGCAGCAGGTGGCGGAGGCGGAGGAGCAGGAGGCAGTGACGGCGCCGAAGAGGGAGGAGGCGGTGGTGGAGCTGGAGGTGCCGAAGGCGCAGATGCTGCTGGGGGCGGAGGGGGAGGTGCAGCGGGCGTCGAGGCTGAGGATGTGGTTGAGAGATTGGACGGCTTGCGTGACGTTGGCAGCGGAGGAGGTTTCTTGCCAATGGGCGGTGGCGGTGGCTTCTTTCCCGTGGGCGGTTTGGGAACCTCTTTCAGTAGTCCAGGAGGAGCAGGAGGCCGACCTCCCGGTATGGCGGGCGCGGCGCTTGCTGGAGGTCGAGGAGCGGAGGCTGTGGGTGGTTTGGGCGCCGACAGCGTCGATTCACCAGGGTCCGACAAGTATGATGAGTCTTGGTCCCTGCCTGTGTCGATACCTCCCCTCTTCTTCAGCTTGGGCATGCCTCCCGCGAACAAGCCCCCCAGCTGTGGTGCGGCGTCCATGGTCGGAGCCGATGACTGTCCTTGGTCGCTGTTGCTCCTTGCTCGGTTCCCAGGCACAGGCGGTGCGAGTCCCCCAGGCGGTGCTGGCGCGCCCATGCCTGGCACAGGAGGCGCGCCTCCTACCGGTGGTCCCCCTCCTCCGCCTCCTGATGATCCGCCGACTATAGGCGCTGAACGGTCGTTGGTAACAGCCTTTTTCAATGATTTGCCTTTGTGGATGTCGGAGAGAAGGGCGCCCTGGATACTGTTAGAACTGCGCAAGGCCATTCATGCCTGGAGTTCACTCACTCTGCCCGCACCACCGGGTGGTGGTGGTCCTCGTGGTAGATTGCCAGGAGGAGGAGGCGGCGGCGGCGGACCTCCCGCTCCTGGCATTGGTGGTGGTGGTGGAGGTGGAGGCGGCATTGTGATTTAGGTATGTCGAGGCTCAAGAGGATTGAAGAATTGAGGGCGAAGCCATGCGGGACAGATGTCCAGGCAGTCTCGAGCGCGTGGCAGTCAACGACAAGGCGCCTGTGGGCTGCAGCCTTGGCCAAGCGTTGGTTGGGCTGTGGAAGTCTGACGGTCTGCTATTCGTCAGGGCGCTCGCTACTCGAATGCCGCAATTGTTGCTGGATCGTAAAGGCGAGCTATTGTTGACGAGTTTCGGAGTTAATGCTGTCGCTCTACGGGCGAAATACTCTTTGGTAAGGTATGGTTGCTGGAGCTGTCGTGTGCAGTTTCGTCATCCTGCTTGTCTGTCTGCGCCATCTGGCTGACTGTGCACAACGTGGTCGTCGTTCTCATAGGTGCCCCGCCCTGCTGCAGCGCCCACAGGTCGACAGAATTTCTGGCGGACTGTCTAGATAGGGTCAAATATATGTACTTATCCCAGAGACCTCCAATCATCTGTACTTCAGAATTGAATAAGTCTGATAGGTATTTATGTAGAATTTAGTACCATTATGTAGATTTTTGAGACTCAAAACTCCTTACGGACGCTGAACCTGCGGGCTCAAGATCTCGACGCTATCTACACGGTCCTCAGCAATTCCGGCAGTCCCCACTGCAGCTGGGTCTCTCAAGTCAGGTAGACAGAAATCCGACTGGACTGATCAGTTAGATTGAAAGACTTCTGGTATAAGTCTCTAACCCCATTAACTTTATAATGACACGAAAGTTGCTTCTGCTGTATTGAAAACTAATTTAGAGTATGCTCAAGAGATTTTATTGGTATTTAGGCATTGACTCATTGTATGAGGCCCTCAAAAGTCCTTCTGCTCTAACAGTGAGCACCACCAATTAATGGCACCCTGCCCATGTGGATACCAGTTCCCCTGCAACGCCTTCACGTTCAAGTCCAGGACGGATCGCCAAAAAGTTGGGGACTCGATTGCGCAGCAAAGACCAGGCTACCGACCACAGTCTCGCGACTTTGAGGCTCGCCAAAGCGCAGTCATGCGTCGCACGAATCCCCAGAAGCTAGGCTCGCTATGCCAGCAATGCTCGGCCATTCCACCACAGACTGCTCGACAGCCACTCGCTCTGCGCGTCCTACGTGCCCAGCCCGCGATACATGCTTCGAACAGGCCTTCACGAGTGTTCATGAAGAGATGGGCCTCGACATCGACGACCAACCCCCAAGCTGCATCGACACCGCAGCCGCCAGTGCCAGCTCCTGACGCTGCGTCCGCGATTGAGGTATCCAAGCCGCCTCGCGAAGTCGCCCAAGGAGTCGACAGAGCCGTCCACGACTTCATCAGCCTCGTGGAAACCCAAGGGCCTGACAAGAGCGCGGCAGCGAAAGCCCTGCAGACATGTCTCCGCGCCGCAACGAGTATACATCCTCACCTGAAAAGGGTGCGCAGCCAACAGCCGGCCTCGCGGCTGGCAGCTCTGGCCATGGAGCGTCGTGGCACGGCACCCGCCCCGGACACGGAGCTCATGAACGCCAACCTGCGCATATCCATGGCTGCGCACGCCATTGTCGCGCATCCCAACGTGGAGATGACGCAAAACCTGCTGGAACTCTATGTCCACACGCAAGCCCACCTGGGGCGGCCCGAGTCGCTGCCCGCGGTACTCGAGCTCTATGCCCACAAAGATAAGCCGGTGCTCAAGGACGGCAAGGTTACATATGTACCGCAGAACCCAAACAGGGCTGACAAGGCCATTGAGAAGGGGGTTGCCGACATTGCCCTGCAGACGGCCATTGACGCGAAGCACCTTGATGCCGCGCTTGGCATTACGGAGGCGGCGTTTTGCGTCAAGGCTTTCAAGCGCCAAAAGCTGATCAAGCAGGGCGCCGGCCCCTTCATGGCGCTCGCATCCCTCCCCTTTGGCATCTTGGGTCTCGGCACAGCATATGCACACTACTGGCAAAACACAATGGACGTGATCACGGCGACGGCCATTGGTGTCTCTGCCATTTCGGGCTACTTCTTTGTCGTGGGAGGACTGGGTATTATTGCGAAGCTCAGCGCCAAGGACCAGATGAGGCGTGTGACCTGGCTGCCCGGTACGCCGCTGCGCTACCGCTGGATTAGAGAGGAGGAGCGCGAGGCACTAGACAAGATATCGTGCGCGTGGGGGTTTAAAGAGACGTGGCGACATGGCGAGGAGACAGGCCCAGAGTGGGAAGGCCTGCGCGAGCACATGGGCTATCGGCAGATGATTCTCGACCGTGTGGAATTCATGGAGGGAATGAACTAGACGAGCGAGCGCGACTGGCTTTCTCATTCGTCGATATGTAAGTACTTATATTAGCTTGGATGTACAACAGGGTTAAATGCAAGCGGCTGGTCAAAGGTTATTTCTTGTCCACGGCAGGGCGAGCAACGTCTGGTTCTTTACCTGTATTGTTTTGACTCAGGGGCGACCCATGCCGTAAGTTTGGGTCCGCCATGTTTCTTCACGGAAAGTTTCCACGAGTCTTGGGACTTTGGCTCAACAAGCACGCCATAACTGACTACTACTACAACGCGAGAAGACGTCGCAGCTTATCTTACCGAGTAACCCGAACTTATATAACAGTGTATCCCCTGCTCTGTCGCTCTGTATTCCTCGCAAAGTATAGACGTTTCGCAGCCATGGCTCAAAAAGGAATGGCTACCACTGGACCACCGACCTTCGACGCAGAGGCTGCTCGAGCCTCTGCCACAAAAGTCGCCTCTGGAGAGAAGAGGCAGCCAGGCCCCTCGGGCAAGCTGAACTCTGTCATCGAAACAACTGAGCGTCCCGTATCCGCGCTTAGCGACACTGCTGGTCGAGTCTCAACACTCGATGGCATCCGCGTTGTTGGCCTGACCGAAGACGACGAGGTCTTCTACAAGGGTTTCACGGCTGCTCAGCGACGCAGAGTTCGTCTCAAGACGGACGTGCGATTGCTTCCCGTGCTCTGCATCTTGTATCTTTTTGCGCAGTTGGACCGCGGCAACATTGGCAATGCGAGGATCGAGGGTTTCCAAAAGGATCTGCACATGACTGAAAAGCAGTGGAACATTGTTCTGGCGGTGTTCTTCTTGCCATACTTCATCCTTGGTACGTGGACTGAGTGTCCTGCGATGCGCAGGCTTGGCTAACTGTCGGCAGAGGTGCCCAGCAACATGTTCCTGAAGACCCTGAAGAGACCATCGCTCTACATCTCGGGCCTCGTCCTGGCTTGGGGAGCGGTGATGACTTGTCACGGTGTCCTCAAGGACTTTGGCGGAGCCGTTGCGCTGCGCCTGCTCCTCGGTGCATTCGAGTAAGACAACAACCAACCTGGTGAAGTGTACACACACTGACAATGACAGATCCGGCTTCTTCCCTGCTGCCATGTTCATCTGCTCACAATGGTACCCCCGTCAGTTTGTCGCCTTTCGCATGTCCATCTTTATGGCCGTAGCATCCGTTTCGGGCGCCTTCTCTGGTGTCCTGGCTGCTGCCATCTCCACCATGGGAGGCGTTGGAGGCCTGAAGTCCTGGCAATGGATCTTCCTCATTGAGGGCGGCGTCACCATCCTGCTAGGTGTGTTGACGACCGTGGTGCTGGTTGACTCACCCAGGACTTCGAAGTGGCTCACTGAGGACGAAAAGCGCTACCTCGAACTGATGAGTTTCATCCGCGACAATGGCAGTGCTAGGGTTGAGGGTGGACCAACAGTTTGGGATGACCTGAAGAGCATCACAACCGACTGGCGGTACTGGACCCTTGGACTGGTGTTGCACAATGTTGGTGCTTGTGGCCTCGGTACGTTCCCTGCTCAATGAATGTGCGTGTTCAACAATGATCTCATATAGTATACAGGACTCAAGTTCGCCGTGCCCACCATCATCAAGGGACTCGGCTGGAGCCGTCAGCACTCGCAGCTCCTCAGCGCAGTGCCTTACATTGCCGGCACATGCTCCGCTCTGGCTGTGTCGTTCTTTTCCGACCGCTGCTCCGTGCGTTCGCCCTTTGTGCTGCTCTGTCTGTCCAGCATCGGGCTCGGCTACATGATCTTGTTGATTGTAGCCGTCTGCGTCGGCAAATCGACTCCCGGCGTCCTGGTCGGCATGTCCCTCGTTACCTCCGGTGTCTTCCCCATGGCCCCCCTCTGCGGCTCTTGGGTGTCGAACAACTTTGGCACGCCAGCCCGTCGCGCGGTTGGCATTGCCTTCATCATGGCGGTGGGTAGCATTGGCGGGCTCACTGGCAGCTTCGTCTACGACTACAAAGACGCACCGGGATTCTTCATGGCTTTCGGTGTCTGCCTGGGCTTGGCTGTCGTTGCCATCCTCATGGTGTTGGTGCTTATCTGGTCGTACCTGCGCTCCAATGCAGAGCGTGTCGGGGTGACAGAAGAGCAGGTCAGGAGTGAGTATTCCGACAAGGAGCTGATGGAGCTGGGGGACAAGTCACCCCTTTTCCGATACACTCTCTAAGGGGAACAACGCGCACAGCGCAGCCCCAACCCAGCAGCGGCAACTCAAGAAGCGATAATGGAGTTGCTAGCTTAATGTCATCAGTCTACACAATATGGATACTGGTAGGTATCCCGGGTTTAGTTAGTAGTTTTAGTGAAACTATAATAGGTCTTCCAGCAGCGTCTGACCATACATGGTCGGACGGGTCTGCGAGCCAACTGTCAAATTGACGGAAATTTCCTCACCTATCTTCCCTTGCAGTGGCTAAACCATGGGCAAGCTGTTGTTCTCTCCGCTCCTGGGCAAATTTGAAAGGCTTGAGCTTAAGCTGAACTGCTTACCAGCGAACAAGGACGACAAAGACAGAAAGCGCTCAATGTGCCTGCTCACGTGCTTTTGCTTTCTGTCCTTGCCTTTTGCGTCCAGAAGAGAATTTGCTCCTGTTCAAAAGATGCAGGCTAGTTTGTTCTCGCTTTGCTTTGCTTCGCCATAGAATGTTCGTCGTTAATGAGGATGCGCACGCCCTTTTCGCCACCATCTCGTTGTACTTTGTGTGTTTGCGTCGACATTGGACTGTTCTAGCTAGAGAAATTTCGTAGTACCAGCTTCCAGATTTGTTCGTGTGTTCAAATGACCACGTCATGTTATCTGTTCGACATGACGCACTGCTGTTTGGCCGTGTGTGGTCGCGAACCCCTTTTCGCCCACGTTCGTTTCCATCACATCGCCATTCAACTACGAACAGCAGTCAACAGACGTATCTAAGTAGCATAAATATCTCTACATCTCTGGTTCAATAAAAAATCCTTTCGATTTCCTCATCAAACTCATCCATTCAACACAACTACACACAACCAGTGGCCAGCCTCCAATCCAGCCTATACACAAGCTATCTTCTACAGACGATATCCGCGATCAAAACCATCTATTGCCAAAGCAAGATCAACATGTCTGATTACGCCAATGGTCAACGTGGTTACTCCAACCGCCACATGCCCTCAACGCCCACCACCTTTGACGAGATGGGTATCCAGCACATGTCTGCCGCCGAAGAAGCAGCCTTGAGCCGAAAGCCTTCTCTCGCCCGCCGCCTCACTCGTCGCATGACTGATGGCGGTCGGCAGAAGGCGGGCAAGGCCAAGCTCGTCAAGGAGGCTCGTCCAGCCTCCCCAGCGCCCGCTCGCCCGTCTTCCACGGGCCGTTCCACGCCTGGTTCTGACCCTCTGCTTAGCCAGACTAGTAAGTCTGGCTCTCTCAGCCGTGCCGAGACCATTGCTGATAAAACGATCCAGCGTGACAACCGCAAGGGCAAGTTCTACTGCCGCCATGCGTGGGAGTCGGGTTGTCGCTGCGAGAACCGTGCGCGCAAGGAGGGCGACGTGTGCTTCAAGTGCAACGATGGTGCTTGCGCCTTTTGGCACCCATGAGTGAGCGTCGTGGACTATGCTGAGTTTGAGCAGATGGCAAGGGAGGAGGAGTTTTGATTTCGGCTGGTCCGAATTTATAGAAAACCTGGAATAATTAAATAAACAAAGGGGGGAGTTCCACCTGGAACCTCCCCAGTAAAAACAAAAGAAAAGAAGAATCTCCATTTGTGAATGACGGCATGATTACAAGTGATGGTCTAGATACTCTCACATTACTGACGATTCGGTCGTCCTACATGCTTTAGGCTCTCTGTGAAAGGACGCGCATCGCAATGCCATGGTATGCTGAACACGCTAAACAGACAAGAGAAAGAAAAGAAAAGAAACGGCCCTTTGATGCTCCCTCATTCATACGGCCTCTCCTGCTTCCATCCATAAGGCATCGGCCAAACTTAGCTCGTGACTCTCCTGACCCACAGCGTGCCGGTCTCGTAGTTCGCCTCGCGCTCCTGACGCTTGTACGCACGGTGCAGTTTCAAGCCCAGCTCATACTCCTGCCTCTGCACCTCTGCCAGCTCCTCGCGAAGAGCCTCGACCTTTTTCTTCTCCTCCTCGCGCTTGCGCAGCACCTCGTGGCTAGCCAAGAGTCGGTCGGCGGGCATGAGCTCCGTCATCTTCTTGATGCTCCGGTTGATGTTGTTGCGTCGATGGGCCAGCGCCTCGAGTTTGGTGTTGAGCAGCACGACGCGGTCCTTGGTGTCGACCATTTCTGGTGGCGCCGGGGGCAGATCCTTGCTCGTCGACATGATGGACATGGGCCGCCCGTCTGTCTTGTCGTGCGCGATGCTCCGTGGCGTGCTGGCATGGTCGGACGTGGTGGCCGACTTGAGCGAAATCACCAGGGGTTCGTGCGGTACCGTCTGCGGGCTGTCTCGTCCGGGGACGGGTCTCCTACGATCCATCACGGAAGACGCCGGCTCGGGGACAGGTGGCACTTGCTCCTCGTTGGAGCGTCGAGAGGTCGCGTCGTTCGCAGCTGTAGCGTACGTGGTGGTGCTGAATCGCGACGGGGGCTGCGTCCAGGAGTCCTCCAGTAGCGGGGGAGTAGACGTGATCTGATGCGGCGAGGCAGTCAGGGTCGGCTGCTCTGGCTGTGTTGAGTAGACTGAGCTGGAGATGGACGGGTGGACGACGTGCGCTGGGCTGTTGGCAGCGTTGGGCGGGGGCTTACGCTTGATGGCCTTGTCCGGGTTGGGAATCGTTAGTCGAGGGGGATGGGGCGAGACCCGAATCCGTGGCGGGGAATCGGGTGCCTCTATTATGGAGGAAGATATGTCCATGCCTGGTTCGTTTGTTATGGTGGTGGTGGTGGCGTTTACAGCTGCGACGTTGCCTGTCGCAGACTCGTTTGCGGCGGAGGCCCGGCCGTGGGGTTGAGGTGGTACCTGGCTGTGGCGATGGGGCATGAACTTTCGAAAGGCTGCCATTTTAGATGAGCCATGCGCCATGTCGTGCGCCTGTTGACTTTGCCGTGCAGGCTGATGAGCATGCTGCCCCTGTGCGCGCGCATCCCTCGCCCGCTCTGCCCGCTTGCTGCTCTTGGGCGGTACCTGCAACGGCGGCGCACTGGTGTTGTCCTGGACAGGCTTGACGACAGTCTCCCTACCGCTGGCGCCGTGCCATGCTGGTCTGTTCTCGATGGGCTCCGTCTTTCCCTTCCCCAGCTGCTGGCGCACGCGCTGGCCTAGCGAAGGCGGGTGGTTCCTCGAGCGCTGGCCGAGCTGGGCCGTTACGGTGGTCGTCATGCCGTACATGTGCGCTTCGTCGCGGGGTTCGGTGCTCTCTGGTCGAGGATGCATTTGGTCGGTAGGATCCTCCCATCCGACGGCGTTGCGCGATGTGCGCCCCGATGCTATAGGAGGGGTCCCAGCCCTCAGGTGCGTGTCGCGGTTTGCTCGCGGTCTTGGAGCCACTGCATCAGCGTCGCTCAGCTTCTGCTGCTGCCTTTTCATCGTGGGAATACTGCTGGACGGGTGTTGAGCACTGGAACGACGAGCGGGCGTGGGTGCTGTTGGGGAGGCGGCAGCAGCAGCAGCAGCAGCAGGGTGCTGCGCCAGTGGGTTGGGCCCCTTTGTGAAATACTGTCGAGACACATCTGCGTCATCCTCCTCCATTGGCGAGACATTCATGTCATTGTAGTGCCTGGTATCACAAGTCAGTCAGGGAGGGTGCATTCCGACCAATGCTTCTCTTGAGCCTTACGGGCTGTCCTCTGGGCTCAGCTCAGGGGAGCTTGGCAACGACACTCCATCTGTATTGATCGCCCTTTGCTGCTGCTGTGGTTCATGCTGTGTGTAATACAGGCTCGCCATTTCGTCGCTCCCGGGTTGCCTCTTGTCGCAATGATCGTCGCTCACCACCAGTTTTGGTACGGCAGCGTCGCCGTTGACAGGTGGAGGGGGTACCGGCAGGACACTCTGGCGCCACTCTGAGGTTCGTGGGAATTGTCGCGGTCGAGGCGCAGCTTCTGGTGTCGACGAAGAGGCGGAGCTTGGTCTGTTATTTTCGGGCGCGTCAGCACCCCTTCATTCAGTCTCGTGGTTGGTCGAAAAGCTCATCGCTCCATCAGGGAATCCGGAGCGATTGGGGAGAAAGGCTCTCTCTCACTCACAGGTACTCGCGCGAAGCGAGAGGCGAGTCGCTTGAGCTGGGCACAGCCTTGCCCTGTTGAATCTCGAAGCGATGGGGTCGGTTGCCGGCTTCAGCAGATGTTGCAAGGCGCTTAATTCGATCCTCGAATCTGTCCTGCCAGAACTGGCTGTCGGGGTCGTCTCGCGCCTTGGTGGTGGTAGTAGTAGTGGTGGTGGTAGTGGTCGTGGTGGTGGTATGAGTGGCCGCTGGTGATTGTCTGGAGAGTCGGTGCCACATTGTCGCGGGAGCGTCTGGCCGGCAGCGGCATGCGCGACATGATATGGACCGCGGATTCTCGATAAATAATCAGACCTCCCAGACGAGACGATTCAATTCGTTTCCTAGCCAAGTTGGAGGGGCACTTGTCGGCTCAACTCTGGTGGCGTGCATGACCCAACGGCGCGAGCTCTCGTTTCGAATCCTGCTGGCCCTCGACGCCTCAGTGGCTCCAGGAGTCCAGCCGGCCTGATGTCGCGACGCACTACGGATAGGGGGTTGTTGATGTGTTGTTGGTGACCTGTTGGTGACAATGTTGAGTGGAAATGAATGCTCTTTGGGTCGCGCTGCCTGTCAAGTCGCTCTCGGACCAACTTGTTGGCAGCTCAGATCACCAGCTCTCACCTTTGAGAGTTGACTACCGTACTGATGGACTGCCGAGCGCTATCGAAAGGGGTGGGCATTTATTCATAATATTACGACACCACGCATCTACCATCACACTAGCAATGCACTCCATGCGCCAAGTAGGTGATGATTACGGTCACCAGAGTGGGCAGCTTCAGTTGTGTCTTCGACATACAACCTTCATCCCTCGACCGCTGTGGGTGATTATCAAACGAGTCAATCGACGACTTTATTCATTAATTGACATTAGGGGACCTAATCAACCCTAAATTCATGCGAACCTGCGACCGATCCGGCTGCGGACGGCCGTGAAACTTGACCGTTTGTGGGACCATGTTCATGTTTCACTCTCACCATGACAAGGGTCTTGGCGAAATATCCTTGCAGCGCCACATGCTAGGTATGCATTAATTCATTAATTAATGAAATAATTTCTTTTCACCCTCCCGACTTGATTATTTCCAGTCCTCCAGCACTGTGTCGCCCTCCCGAATGCCACCAGCCTGAAGACTGTAATCCCACAGCTTGCGTCGCTTGGATTCGTCCTGCGCGTCCTTGGCGACCTCCATCTCGTCCGTCCCGTTGAGGTACAGCGGCTGCCCAACGGGCGAGTCAATGTCGAAACAGGTCCGCACGGCATCGCCAGCGCTCTTCCAGGTCGTCCTTATGGGTCCATTGGGACTGAGCCGCACAGACAGCGCTCCCGCGACGGGCAGCACGAACCAGGCCAGGAACCACTTGTAGAAGAAGCTGCCGCGTCGCAGCAGATCGGAGGCCATGGCGCCCGGATCCAGCCCCATGACCGCAATGTGCGATAGGGCTGGGTCGCGCGCGACGCGCCGCGCCAACTCCTGCTGCAGCATCACGACGCAGAGCTTGCTCGCGCCGTATCGACGGAAACCAGACAGCCATGACGGGTCGTCCTGGGGCCTGCTCCATCTGCCTCGGGCCAGGTCGTCGAGGTCAGGAAAGAGGCTGTTCCAGGGAGGCGCGCCGTATGGATCCTCACCGCCAGATTTGTTGCGGTCATCGTCGACGCTATGAATGACCAGACCGTTAGCCGCTGCGAAAACATGAAACGTGACTGTCTGCCAGTGAGGTGACTCACTCGTGCGTCCAGCTTCCCACAATGAGGATGCGGCCTTCCTTCTTGTCCATGCTCTGTAGGAGCAGCAAGGCGAGCAAGAAGTTGGCCAGGTAATTGACCTGCCATGTCGTCTCATAACCGTCCGAGGTCATGTTCTGCCGATGTGAGCTTCACGCCCGGTATCATGGCGATCAGACGAGCCTACTAGTTCCGTGTGATCCTGATATCCTGCGTTCAGGATTAGAGCTCTGATGGGTGGTATCGCGCCGCTGGCAACTCGCTCGTTGATGTCCTTGGCGAACGCGCGCACCTTCTCCATCGATGAGAGATCCAACGCCACAATGTCGTGCTCATGTGATGAAGGGGCACTCTTGAGCGCCTTGCGCAAGGCTGGGGCGGAGGATGGCTTGCGGACAGTGTAGATGCCAGTTTGTGTGTCCGCCAGGTCGGATCTCCTAATAATGTGAGAGACGATGGCGCTGCCCATGCCGCCGGTGGCACCGGTGACAATGGTCGTTCCGCTGGGAGACATGTTGAAGGAGTTGGATGGAGGCAATAGCTGAGCTGGTTGATTGAGCTTGGCCTGTTGTTGCGCTCGACGTACTTATATGTCCGGTCCAGTCGCCTAAACCCGGTGGGTACCTTGAACAGGGACTACATGTACAGTATGATGTAGTCGATAGGGCCTGCAGACATGATATGCTTCAGGAGCCTCCCTCATTGGACAGACCCTGCATCCTCCTCATGCGGGCTTGTAGGTCGGGATCTGCGGAATTCGTCGTAGCAGGCAGGCGGAGGCTTTATCATTCGGGACATTCCCCGGACTTAAGGTTGCCCTCCGCTTCCCAGCCTCACGACTCCCAGGCGGCCACCATCCCCAGCACCGCCAAAGCCAATCCAATAGCCCCTTTGCATCGGGCGCCACTGGACTGCGGCGTTCCTGCATTTGTATCTTGGCCCCCTTGGCCGTTGACACTCCCGTCATGCTCAATGCTCATCTCGTCCGACAGCCCATCTGGGCTGCACTTGGTGCCCTCGGCGAGATCCATGACCACGCTCCACTGCCCAGACGCGCAGCGCTGAAAGGTGTCTGGATGGCAGGACCACTGACCCTCGGGGGAGCATGCTGTCCCCGGGTCCTGGTCTCGCTTTTGAAGCAGGGGAGAGGCATTGGCTTGGAGTGATGCCATTGAGGCGAAGAATACCAAAAAGCCCATGATGGCCATTGCTGGGGCCTGCATCGTGTGTGCTCTGATCCGTGTAAGTCGGGGTTGTGGGGGCAGATATGCAGGTACGTCCTGTATAAACGGACTTAACAGAGCAAGACGTCTTGCTGTCAGGTCTTGTCAATAGCGATCGTTTACAGCGTAATAAATTTCGCAGAACAGCCCAAATTCTTCAAACAGGCTCACGCAGGGCAGACAGCCCTTTTATATAAAGCTCTCGTCGTAGATGTGGAGTGAGGTACTGACACGGTTCGTCGGTGGATACATGGCAAGACGTGGATATGTCCTATTGGCATGCGAGGCAACATGTCGGTGAGTTGGTCAAGGTTCCATAGTTAGGGGAAATGGCGCATTCAGAGACTTGTGCCCTCGAGTCTGCTGAGACATAATCTATCCGTGATTTGTTGGCTTTCCTGGTTTTGGCAGCTTTGTGTGATGGGGTTTCGAGGTCACAGTGTGCATGCGTCAGGCACAGCTGCCCAACCTCGAGGTCGTGTGACTCGGGCACAGCTGCCGAATAGAAGGTTCAAAGACTCTTCACCTGCAGGTTCTAAACAGAGTCTGGACGCACTTTCACTGGCATGCTGTTGAAAAGTATAAATTGGCCGTATGACTAACTGTTTTGGTAGTCGAGCGGTCTGGGGCCAAGTTGTAACCTCGCTACTGACTCAAAGCTCAAACCCCGTACGACCATGGAAAAGAATCGAACCAGCCGATTACGAATAGAAATAAAACTCCAAAGAGATGTGTGAAAATAATCCTTCATTCAAACGTCCCCTGTCCCGTGGAACGCCAACAGCTGATGCTGGCGACGGTCATCCGCCGTCAGACACCATACTTGCCACTCGTAGCGGCAGCAGCAGCGGCTGCCGTGCGGGTTCTCATAGTCTCTTGGGCCTTCGTGTGCTTCCTGTACTTGATGGCCATCAAGGCCGCCAGGGTCGCGATTGTCAGGCCTATGAATATCGAGCATATGATGACCTTGGTTTGCCTTGCGGAGCCGTGTTGGTCTTCGGGCAGAAGGATCCGGGTGCCATTCTTGCCGGCCAGCTTGGAAAGATTGGTGTCCATTGGAAGGTCGGGTTCTAGCGAGCTACTCCATCAGATTGGTTGCTGTCTCTGTGTATGAGCACAGGCGCATAACTCACCGGTAATGTCTTTGATGAACTTCAATTGGCGAAGCGATGGGTGATCACTAGGAGGAACCAGTCGGAATAGAGAGCACAGTTCTCGTGAATCGCTCAGCGAGGCTTCCCAGAAGTGTGCGCAGTCATGAGCAGTATATATGTATTCAGGCATTGTCGACCAAATGTAGTTTCAGATTCATCGCTCCATGCATTCATACTATGCCATGTCCGATCTTGCCCAACCAATTCCATCTTGTTATCACATATCAATTGTGACCATCGGCACCCTCTTGCCCCTCATTGTACATAAACACATTTCATAGGCCGTGATGTCTATCCCAGAGAACATTCTATATGATGAGTGGCCCTTGTGGATAATCCTATCCAGCCCAGCGCGCGACTGCGCGCGTCGTCCATCCCATTCCTAAACGCCTGTGCTCAAAATCAAAAGCGGCCGTTACACATGATCGCATTTCCATTCACACTCTGCGGGGCCTTCAGGTCGCTGTCCTGAGTTCCTCAATACAAGGCCCCTCCCGCGGACGCTGTTTCGTTCCACGGTGGGTAGCTCGTGTGCCACTGCCCGTCATCGTAGGTTCCAGACTGCGATGGTCTGACCAGAGTCGAAAACGTGGTTGGTGTGGTGAAGGTCACGACTTCTTCCACGTAAGACGGAACAATAGGTTGCAGTTTCGTCGCAACGGGGCCTTGGGGCATTGGGTTGGTCGGGGTGGTCAGCGGTGGGGGGCTGATCGCACTTGATGGCGCAACGGGCAGCACTGGCACCTCAGTCACTCTCACGGGGACGGCAGTGGTCTGAGAAGCCGGGATGACGAGTGTGACAGAGGAGGCGCTGGGAGTGGTGGCGGTATCGGTGGCGGGGGAATCAGTCGTCGTCGTCGTCGTCGTCGTTGTCAGTGTTGTGGCAGGTTCAGAAGCAGGCTCGGGCTGCGGAGCTGGTACTGGAGGCAGAGGTGTCTGTGTGATATAGACTGTCGCCGTGGGCTCTGCCTCCAAGTCGATGATGGAGATCACCGTCGTTGGCACAGCAATCTTCTGTGTGACCGTCTCAACCTCTGGTGGAACTGTTTGTGTGATGCGTTGCGTGACTGGGTTCGGCACGTGTGTGACCGTCTGGGTGAGCGTCACTGTCGAATCTCCATCCCCATTGTCCGGTTCGCTCTCGTCGTCCCCACCTTCCTTGCCCGGCTGGTGGGCGTCGTCCTCGTCTGGCTCCAGCGGGATGATAGAGTACTGCGGCTTGCTGCCAGAGTCTGTTGGCGCAGCGCGGACGTCGACGCCCGGACGCGGTAGAGCGCTTGTACTAGGCAAGCCGAGTGCCAGAGTCCATGTCAACAACAGTGACACTGACCCGCCGCGCATTGTACGAAAGCCTCCCTAGGTGAGGATCTGTGTGTGAGGTTGAGGAAGCTTGGGAGTGGGCACAACCTAACGTCGATGCTGCAAAACCAATCACTGGACAAGAGAGACGGGAAGAGTTCATGCAGAGACCCGGGAGGACGGATGTTCATATTGTATAGCTACTAAAATAATGTGATGGCTGGTCGCTGAAGAACACGAGAATGTTGAAGGTAAGGTGGTTGGCGGCGTGGGTGAAACAGAGACATCTGCAAGAAAACAGTGTGGCTGGGGCGTCAATACCAGCCACCTTTTCCTGGGGACCCTGCTTCGGAGTCCGGCAGCAATGCACGTCAAATTGCGCGGATCGTACCTGCATGTGATCGATTGGCTATCCAGAGGGGGATGCTTCCATTGCCATCAATAATTGCCTTCTTTCGCTAGTTGAGCGAGCTGAAATGCATTTTGGGCGCGTTTCTAGCTGTGGCAACAGACCTTAGGTTGGTGATGGCGCTCCTAGTGCGGCTGTGCGTGTGTGGCTGCGTATTCGCACCTGCCCGCAGCCACGCTAATGAGGGGCAACGCTCCTCCCCCACCTTTGCTGCACCGTAACCGCAGCTTGGTCAGATTCAGCATGCACAAATGATGGACTTTTGCAGACTGAAGCCCTGGCTGGCAGGTATTCTATTGCCAGAAACGAGGACTGGGGCCTAACAAAAGGACACTTACGCGATCGTCATAGCATCGCTCATGCGATAAAATCATGTCGCTCCGATTATCGGTACCACATCGCGAGCCAAGACAAGTTGCTCGACGGCGTCGTCGTGGACTCGTGGAGATGACGTTATTTAGGAGCGCTCCGCCACGCGGCAGCAGTCAATCAGCCTAACAGACGACCTGATTTTGCCTGCGGACGAGGCGTCTACACCAACTTTTAAGCTACACGTGCTTGCGCATTCATAAGGCTGTCGCATCCCCTCCGTCGACACCCCGAGTACATCCCCCCAAGACGACAATCCACGATCGATTCCTACGCGCATAGACTGTTGTTCCATAGCGCCAACGGCAATGTCTTACCAAGGATACGGCCAACCGCCGTACGGTCGTGCGCTCTCCCTCCCTTGAGCCAGACGCGGCCAGCGTATCTCGCAACATGCTGCTAACAAATCGTACAGAGCCTCCTCAAGGCTACGGCCAACCGCCATACCCTCCCCAGGGCCACTACCCTCCACAACAACACGGGCATCCTCCTCCCCAGCAAGGCTATCCTCCCCAGCAAGGCTATCCTCCTCAGCAAGGCTATCCTCCCCAGCAGGGCGGCTATTACCAGCCTCCGCCAGGCCCTCCCCCGCCGCAAGGGCAACACGCCCCTCCTCCAGGTCCTCCACCAAGTGGCCATTATCCCCCGCCGCAAGGGCAGCCCCCGTACGGTCAGCCTCAACAATATCAGCAGTACGGTGCACCGCCCGGTGCTCCTCCCCCGGGCCAGTACGGTCATCACTCACCTGCCCCTCCACCCGGTCCGTATGGCGCGCCGCCAGGCGCTCCCCCGGGCCACGGTGCGCCTCCGCCGCATGGACAGGCCTATGGCGCTCCGGCAACACAGCCAACACCGCCGTCGCCGGGCTATGGTCCTCCACAGATCATCCAGTGGGACGGGAATGCAGACGCCCAGGCGCTCAGGGCAGCCATGAAAGGGTTTGGAACGGACGAGAAGGCGCTCATCCGGATTCTATCCAGCAAAGATCCCCTGCAGATGGAGGTCTTGCGCCAGACTTTTGACCGTATTCACAAGCGCAATCTGATTGAGGACCTCAGAAAAGAGACGAGCGGCTATTTTGAAAAAGGACTTGTCCAGCTGGCGCGCGGACCGTTGCACACGGACTGCCACCTCTTGTTCGAAGCGATGGATGGCCCAGGGACAAAGGAGATTGTACTGAACGACATTCTTCTAGGCCGCTCCAATGCCGACATCAAGGCCATCAAGAGCACATTCCAGCAAACCTTCCGACGGAGCCTCGAAAGCGCGGTCAAGGGTGACCTCAGCATGAAGACCGAGCGGCACTTTATGATTGTCCTTGGCGCGAATCGCGCCGAAGACTCTGCGCCGGTCGATCCTCGCCAGGTTGACCAGGATGTGATGGACCTGTACAAGGCCACGGAGGGACGCATGGGTACGGATGAGATCTTGGTCTGCCAGATTCTAAGTACAAGGAACAACGACCAGATCCGTGCTATCGCCCACTCATACAAGCAAAAGTTCAGGAAGGACCTAGACGATGTCATTAAGAGTGTAAGAGCTCTCTCAAGGGTGCTTTCCCAGGACCTGCGGGCTAACGGTTGTTTAGGAATTCTCTGGGCACATGCGAGATGCGCTCCATTTCCAACTGCGGCAGGCTGTCGACAAGTACATGCATGCCGCCACCCTGCTCGAGGAATCCATGGCAGGGATGGGCACAAAGGACAATCTGCTTGTCGCGCGCACGATTCGGTATCATTGGGACCCGACCACGCTGGCCAATGTGAAAGCAGCGTATCAACAGAAATATCGCAAGAGTCTGGGTGCCCGTATCAAAGGCGAAACATCTGGGGACTATCGCCTGCTTATGATGGCTTGTGTCGGGGAATGGTCCTGATCAGGGGAATATGTACTTGGACATTCTGCAACGGTCGGCGTCGGCTGTCTTTTCACCCTTATTTTGCTCTTTGTATTTAATACGCCAACCACGGCACCTCTTGTCTCCACGTTATGCTTATCATGAAGTTTGTCCAGTGTCAATGAGCGCAGGAGTGAAGCAGTCGTCCCAAAGACATCGCTGCGCATCACCAGAGGCTTCGACAACGCAAGATATGGCCAACTCCCTGGACCACCGGATCAAGCTCATCTAGCAGACAAAGCAACTAATAACTTTTCGTCTTCAGAAAGAGCCTTCGATGGTCGCAGGGACAAGAAACATAAAGTCTTCGGTCGATCCGGTCACTCCACGATGATTCACAGAACGCTGCCTTGGAGAAGACCATGACTCCAAGACGACTCTCGAGTGAGAACCCTAACTCTTCTCATGGTTCAACCTCTTCGATCCTTTCCTAGACCCTTACTCATTCCAACAGCATCAAGACATACGCAACAACACTCTGCACCAGCCACATCAACACACAAGTCAGCTTACAATGGTTATTGGCCAAGTGGCAGACCACTGCGCCCAGCAGACCACCCAGGCATCCCGGGTTGGGGCTCTTGGGAAATGGCACGCTCCTCCCCTCGCCGACGCGACCATCCTCAGCTCCGCAAAGGAAGCTATCCGATGGACAGAATCTGACGAACTCTTCGTGGAAACTATATTCCGCAGGGGAGAGGAACCTCGCCCCATATTGAAGAACCGTGGCGGCATCACTGACCACAAAATTGCCCAGCTGGCCTGCCTCGACCATGCCATTCAGCTGTTCGAGGAACGAATCGGGCACTCAGACGCTGGGTTCTACGCATGGTCTGAATACCACAGGCGCGCCATCGATCTCAAACTGACAGTCGAGCCGACCGTGCGTACCTACAGGATCAGCAAAGACCACGTCCACTGTATCAAGCTGGCCAAGAGGGCTGGAGTCGCACCAGGTGCGTGGAACCAGAAAGCATGGAATGCGCAGTACGCGCACATCCTTAGGATCCGCGGGGAGGCTCTGGAGGCACTACTAGGCTCCCCTGGTCTTTGCACACATGAGTTGGGCCAGATCGTCTCGAGGCTCAGGGTGCTGTCCGTTCCCTGCGGCCCCGTGGCCGAGCGTGCCAACTGGCTCTATCGCGGCGCTCCGATCCACCCACAAAGTAGGATCTGCCAATCTGGTGGATTGGGGGGAAACTAGCAGTCTTCCGTCCATTCTATTTGCAGGGAGCTGGAGAAGGATGTGGAGGCTGCCAACGCCTTGGCGACTCGCTTCTGGATGGCTTGCGATGCTTTGCGGCTGCCGCCGTCGTTCACATGAGGCTCAGAGAAAATCGGTAGTAAGGGGGCGAGTCTTAACGTACCTGGTAAGGAGAGTCGACGTGTTCATGATTTCTGTGCGGGTTTTTTGGTCAGTGCCAATGGTAGAAATATGTCGATTCTTTTAGATCAGACGAGGAATAATTATCGGGAGAAGCAAATGCATTTCTACTTCGTGTTAAATATAATAAATTAACAACACATAATATAATAGTAATAGTGCTATGACTTAGCTTCTTTTAAGTCTTTAAGATATTTATTGGCCGCAGCGCTAATGACTGCTGAGTAATATGGAGCACAAGCTAATTAAGCCGAAATATAAGCGGGTTAGCCCAGATTAGGTGCTTCGACCGCCCCGAGCGCTTATGATATATTTCGTTAATCCGGGATTTGCTTTCCCCCCTAACCTCGCATTAATAAATTCTTCACCGCCGCCCTTCTCTAAGATATTCCAGATACCCACACCGACTAACGCGACCTATCGCGCTTTCTCCCAAGCCCCGAATTTTAGCGATTTATCACTCTGGCTTTTGTTATACCTATAGCTTAAGTGCACGCGGCTTTGACATACCCAACGGCCTTGAGCTAAGTGATTATCTGCACGCGAATGCAGATTAGCGTTATCGAGCGCACTCGCACGAGGACCCGCCCGCTCCTGCCTAACTAACTCGCGTTGCACTTGCCGCAACCCTTCACGTTCGGGTTAGCTAGGTAATTTAGAGCTACCAACGCGACCGGGTGGTGCCTACCGAAAATCAACCCTCACCTGCCTCATATCCGCCAACAACGAGGCCAGTCATTACCTGCTCTTTCAGCCAGTTTGTTCTTTGGGAGTCACTTTGGGTCAATTCTTTTTCGTCTCGGGTGCTTCTCTTTGGTTTTTCGATCGCCTTGCGTCTCCAAAGGCAGCAGTTATCACACGCGCCTTTCACCCGCCTCACACCTGCGGCTGCTGCTGAGAACGCGCCCCGGATCATCAACGCGCTCAGCATCCAGCACTCAGCACTCAGCATGGCGACCCCTGAGGTCATCATGTCTGACGTTGCTCAGGGCGTCATACCTTCCGTCGAGGGCCAGCAGCAGTCGATGGCCACCGTGCAGAGCCATCATCCCAGCGTGGCATCGCATACAGCACCACTATCCAATGGCGTCGGGCAAACCCAGGCCTCTGTGCGCGTAAACGTGGCACAGGCACCCATGAGACAAGCAAAAAACACACCAGCACAGACACCACCAGTCAATCTCCCGAAAATACCAACTCCGGCGCCAGGCATAGCACCATCACCGGTCCTGGCCCAGCATGCTGTGAATGGGCATGCGTCCTCGTCGTCGGCGAGCGCGCCCAAGTTCGCATCGCCAGAACTATCAAAGCCTCATACGGATCAATTTACAGCCAACGAATATGCAGATATATCCAATGCTATCAAAAGGGCCAAGCCTAGCGTGGTTCGACACGTTGTGCGCGACAACTGGGATCGCTGCCTAGTGGGCTCCGAGTACCACACTGCCTTTATGGTGAGCTGCCCTTCTAAATGCGGATCGGGAGCAAACGACTGACGGGCCTCATCTAGCTCAATGCCATCCTTCATCAGGCAAGCGAGGCGACCTTGCGCACAGCCGTCCAGGACTTTGGGGCCAAGATGGTGCAGACATGCAAGGGTGCCATCATGGTGCACATGACCACTCGAGACATTGATCAGCTTGCGGATCAAATTCTCTCAAAGGCCAGCCCTGCATTTCTGGACAAGGCTGTCGCGCAACGCCTGGAGACCGCAACGGCGCGTAACCTGGTCAATGCCTTGGCCACGGCTGAACGCTTGGGGTACACCATTGAAGACTACGTGGAGGAAAAGGGCCCGAATAGTGAAAAGGAAACCGTCACCCCAGATGTCCGTGGTCTGTACAAGCAAGTGCAGCAAAACAGCCAACAGTCTTCGTCAGCTATGCCGGTACACGGGTTGCCGAATGGTGGGCAGAACATCTCGGTTGGCCCACAAAGGATCTCGCTCTTGGTGTGCCCGACGTGTACACGACCCTGTAGCGGTCCACGCGCTCTGGAATACGTGAGTTACGTCCCTTTGATTACCTGACCAGGCCATGGGTTAGATTGCTGACATACAATAGCACCAAAGGAAGGGGGTTTGCCGCGATGCGTTCGACATTGCCAAGGTTGGCAAGACGGCCTGCCCACACTGCGGCCTTAGTTTCGGCTCCCCTCACGGCACGAAATACCACACCAAAAGCCAAGTTTGCGGCGAGTACGACGCACAGGTAGAGCAGGCAATGTGGCAAGCACTACAGGAATATGCCCGCCGCGCGACATCGGCGCCGTCGACGTGGGCCACGGCAGCTGTTGGGCAAATGACGCCGCAGGGGCAGGCGACCCAATCGCCGAAATTGCCTCCATCCTCTTCACAAACGCCCGTGCCCATGCGCACAGCCGCGGACGCACACAAGGCCACGCCCAAGACTCCCGGCGCCGTCGAGGACCCCTATGCTCATCTTGACCCGAAAACTCTCAAAGCGTGGACCGAGGAGCGGCTGTCGATAGAGGAGAAGTATGGCGTGGAGATACGCAATGCCATGCAGCTTCCTGAGCCTGAGGCCACTGATGAGCTTATCAAGATCAAGAACCGATATAACACGAAGCAGAGCGTTACCCGCAAGAAGTATGGCATCCGACTGAAGGAGCGTCGCCCGGTAGCAGAGGTAGACGCTGAGCGATGCCGCCTGCTCCAAACGCCAAATGCCCTAGAGGTATGGGCTGACCAGGAAAGAAAAGAGCGGTTATTCAAGTCAGGGAATATCCAGGCCGTGATCGACGCCGATAATAATGCCGGGCGGCCTGCCAAGAGAGCGCGCTTAGATCCGCCTGTTGAATCTCCTCGTAAGATGGCCTCCCTCTCCGAGATGGGCGGGCTCGGAGCTTCAGCGGCGTCAGCAGAGACGGTCGATCCAACGGCGCAGCCACCGCAGCAGACCACACCAAGCAGGCTCTACGCCAATCGCCCGAAACCTTCGCCGCTTGGTCAGCCACAACCGCGGCCCGTGGGCGCCCAGGATCAGCCCGTCTCCATCGCCTCGAGCGATTCGGAGGAGGAAAGTGACTCGGACAGGGATAGCAGCAGCGATGACGATGATGAAGACATTCCTGCTCAGTAGCCAGGGTGTTTCTCGACGGACGATCAGCAACAGCTAAATCTTGACCCTTGATAATTTTTTTCAGCATTGGCGTTGCGGCAGGCAAAATAAGGGGAAATCGGACATCATATGACGAATCTTGCATCTAAGCATATTACTATCAGAGCAGTATGTGCTTCATTACCGGGGCATCGCATGCCAGGGCCAGGGCTTGCCAGTTACCACCGGAGCATTTGCATGGCACGGATACAAGGCGTTGGGTTGGGTCACTGGGACATTCTTACGGAGCACAAATGTCATTTCCTTAATCATGTGCTGAGAGCTTATACGTGCGCATGCGCACATTGCATTGACAATCAGACGCCCAACTGAAAGCCCGCGTGTTCATTCGTCAGTACCAATGGGTGAAGATGATTTCATCAATTCGATTTCGTCATTGGATCCCACCTGCAAGGGGCTGCTCTCGCGCTCGGTTGAATCGCCCATTGTCAAAGAGTCCGCCAGGGTCTGTCGCAAGTTGACAACCCTCATCAGGCAACATGTTCGTTCGCCCTTGTGATTGATAGACAGGAGACGACGATCAGGACCCTGACTCTTCTCGCTGAGCAAGTCAGACAATGCGGCGAATCATGGACCAGTGCACGGTGAATCAGGAGGAGAAGAGCGACAAGACGACAATCACCATCCACTGGGCTTGCCAATCGAGAACCTCGATTGCCCATTCTCGCCATCAGCTTCTTTCGCCCCAGCGCCAAGCGCCTCGAGCGGACGGGCCCACGCCCGCTGATTGGCCAAGCCACACGCGGGCGCGTCTCTGAAACGCACGACGGACCTAGGGGTTCGTCGGGTGCAGGACAGCCCACTAACAGTACAGCCTGTCACTCACTGTGCCGTCGTGTTAGTGTTCCGTCTCAGGGGTTTCACAAGCCCGACCTTCTCAGTCTGGGCATGCGGGGGGGCGTATCTGCACCGTCACTCGAGAGAGAGAATCAATCACAGGATGTCGAGTCGAGGCAGGCCTTAATATGGTTTATCCTTCTCGTTCTCCTCTTCACGTCAGATTGAGCGTGTCATTAAATTGAGTTTCGTCCCTCCGGTCTCTTCTTTGCCCATTTGCTTGTTTCGTGTGCGTCGCGTCCTAGTGGCAGCCCTCCATTCTGCTTCTTCCCTCTTCGCTGGCTGGTCCAGCTCTTCATACAGTCTGCTTGCTTGTCTGTCGCTTTATTATTCGTTGGTGCTGTTTCTTGCATCGCGCGAGCGATAATACTCTCTCGCCATGGCTTCCATGTCGTTCGCGCATAAAGCGTTCCACTGGTCGCTGCCTGGCTTCTCCCGCCCAAGCCTCGACAAGCACATACCTGTCAAACCCCGCGGCGACAGCAACAACAGCAGTAACAATGTGTCTGTCCCGGTAGCAGGTACACCTCACGCGCGCTCGCAATCCGAACCACAGCCTCCTCACCACCCTGCGCCCATTGCGAAGAGGAAGAAGCCCGCCCACCAGTCCGTCGACGATGGTCTGGCGACAGTCCTCGTGGGCCCCCAGAAGCGCCCCTTCAAAGTCAACAGGAGTCTGCTCTGCGCGACATCCTCCTTCTTTGCCGAGCAACTCAACAGACCGTCTCACCACCGCCGCGATGGTTCCCCCCGCTCCGTCTCGCTCTGGCTACCGGGCGAGCTGCCCTCCATGTTCGCCCTGTTCGTCCAGTGGCTTCATAACCCGCGCCACACCTTTCGTCGGATGCTCGACGACGCCATTGCCATTGCGCAGGACGACAACGGCATCCAGGGCCTCAACGACATCCACTGGGCCATGATCCGCCTCCACCTCTTCGCCAGTCACCTCGGCATCTACCACCTCCAGGACTCCGCCATGGACGCCCTCCAAGATCTCTACCTCAAGTGTGACTGGGACGTCACCCCAGGTCTCGTCTCCTACCTCTACACCAAGTGCGACGGCCTCGCCGCCGTGCGCCTGCGCCGCTGGGCCGTCGCCATGGTCGCCTTCAGCCTCACCGGCAACACGGCCACCAGCGTGCCCTCGCCCATACAGGATTACCCAGACGAGGCCGGGTCCCACGTGTTCGACGCAGAGGACGACATGGCAACGCAGTTCCAGTGCCTCATCGACTCCGTCCCCGAGCTGCAGGACGACTACAGCGTGCACATCCACAAGATGACCACCTCGGGCCTGGACCTGCGCTTCAAGAACCCGCAGCTCCGTATCCCGGCCAACAAGTTATGCAACGACGAGCGCGCCTTTGGTTTCAGGGAGTGCTCCTTCCACTCGCATCGCGCGACGGTCGGCGAGAAGCGGTGCCCGCACGAGAGGAAGAGGAAGAGGAGCATCGTCGCGGAGGATCCCGTCGTGCTGGCGGCGCAGCTGGCGGGGGCCAAGACGTTGACGACAAGCCCGCGTATCGAGGATGCCGTGCCGAGGCCGCTCTTTTCTCGAGAGGGCGGTGATGCCGAGGATCGCGATAAGGCTGTGAAGCACGTCCGCTCCGTCTCGAGCACGCTGAGAACATGAGGGTACGGTAGCACGCGGTGGACGGTGTCGATTTTGTGGTAATGTCAGCATATCAGCTCAACTCAGTGTCAAAGGTGGACATTGTAATAAAACAGCACTCGGATCCATCGAGAGACAAATTGCTTCCATGTGAAAGCAGTGCAGTATATATTCATAGCTCGTTCATACAGATTCGACGCTCAGCCATCCGCTTTCGTCTCTATCTTGGCCGCTGACGGGTTGACCCCAGGGCTTGCGACATGTACATCATATTCTCGTAAAGACAAACTTTTGCGTGCAGAAAGTAGACATTCGTAAAAGAGGTGAAAGAAGAAAGAAAAAAAACGTAAAAGGTCGTGACAGCCAAAAAAAAAAAAATTGTCCTCCGCCTGGCTCAAGGGAATGATGGTGGATAAAAAGGAAAAGGTTTGTAGATGGCAAAGATCGTAGTCGCGGCGCAGCCTTCCAGCTAGCGTCGGTAGTTCGTGTGGCCGCGGCGGCGGCGGCGGTGGTATTTGAAGATGAGCAGCAGATCGAGTAAGCAGCAATAAATACTAGTAGTTGGTCGTGAAATCCGCTGTCGGCAGCATGCTCATGTCATAACAGGGCAGACAGAACATGGTCTGGTGTAGTCGCTGTATCCCGCATCCAACTGGGATGGGTATCATCCGTAACGTCGTAACTGTCGTGAAAAGGAAAAGTCTGGTCGAGTCGCTTTGTGTGCGAAGTAAATGAATGTGTTGCTTTCTTGTCAAATAACGTGAATCAGAGTGGTGACTCGGAGCGCCGACGCTCCTCGCTGCGTTGGCGAATCTGCTTGAGACGCTCGTCTATGTAGGCCAGGCGGTCGGGCAAGGGCGTTCGGGTGCGAGGCGTCTCGCGCCACTGATGCAGACTCGAAAAAGGTCGCATCGAGTTTGATGCGCCGCCGGGTGCGGCGGCGGCGGCGAGGTGGGCGAGGACACTGCTGCCCCTGGCGGGGAAGGAGAAGCTTGAAGGGAGACCGCCAAAAGGCGAACCCAATCTTGGGGGCGCATTGTCCATCGATTGGAGGAACTCGCGAGAAGGCATGCTAGCCGCAGTCTCGACGGGCTGCTGCATGTTGGCAAAAATCGAGGACATGTTGTCAAAGTCGGAGCTTGGCGCAATGGGGCTTGCCCCTGGCTCACTCCACATGTCCGAGGGCAGGCTGGGCCTCTTCGACCTGCGCGCCTCGAGATCCGCACGACGCTTTTGCGTGTTGGACCGGCTCCTGTTCACTCTGGCTGGAGACTTGAGACCTCGACGCGCGCCCATGGTGTTGCTTTGACGTGGGGTCTCGGAGCCCAGCATCTCCGCAAAAGAGCTTGAGGTACTGGGTCCATAGCTTTTGGCTACAAAAGGCGACCCCAGACGAGGTCTAGGCTCGTCGAGGCATGGCGGGAGGAGAGAAGTCTGGCCCTGCGGCAAAGGTGGTAGTTCTTGGGCGTCCTCCTGCTGGCCAGCTGTAGTGAGCTGTGCTAGGGGTCCCCCGAGCTGCATAGAGTCCGAGGTGCTGACAGCGAGGGACATGGCCATGTCTCCTCCGGAGAAAATAGAAGGCGCACGTGCTGGAGTCGTGCGTCGAGCTCGTGCGCGACTCATAGTCTTGCCGAACGGCGTGGGGCTGCTTGCAAAGTAACGCTCATTGCGGCCCTTGCCTCCAGCATTGGCCTTGCACATCTCCACCAAATGGGCCCTCGTAGCAGCGTTCGTGTGGGGCCATTGTATGTAGGTGGATTTACTTCCTGCCGTCGGTGTTGTACTCCCACTGCAGTCCTTGGATTGCGACAGGCCGTTGGACCCTCTCCAGCTGCGGCTAGCTTCCCTTGCGACGCGAGCCACAACACCACACGGTGGGACACCACTGGCGCCAATGCGCACCGGGGTAACCTTGGGATCCTGCAGGTACATTGTGTAAGTTGTCCAGATATGGTTATCCATGGCCCTAGTCCATGGGGCTTTGCGCGATTTCGCCGCACGCATAGGCGCGGGAGGCTTGATCGTCCTGTCCGCATCGTCGGGCGAAAGGAACTTATCAAATCGACTGCTGAACTGCTGATCTGGGCTTATCAAGCTTGCATCATCCGATGCGAAAGATAGCTGGCTGAAAAAAGACGCGCTCGTGCGATTTGAGCGGGCCGTTGATGGCCGACTCGACTCGCACTCCGAGTCGCTAAAGGTTGAGTCGTTGGACCAGTCAGGGAATTGGTTGGTGGTCACAATCGATAGGTTCAGTTCGCCTGGCGCAGGTGTTTTCGGCGGAGAGAACATCCGCTGATGAGCGCCAGTATGTGGAAGCTCCATGGAATGCGCCTCAGACAGCGTAGCAAAGGCACCCTGGTGGGTCGTGTCCAGCATATCCTCATCGACCACGAAAGGCTCCTCAATACTAGGGATGGGGACATCGGCGGCGTCGACAGACGCCAGAAATTGTTCTGTGGGCGCCGCATGGGTGTGCGATACAGCTCGCCTCTTGAGACGGAAGCGTTGTCGAGGTGGTGCAGGGGGCAGGTCGATGTCTTGTTGGGACGATGTTGGTTCGGATGTTTTGGGTCCTTCAGATCGTCGGAAAGCCCGCGTCCGCATGGCAGACAAGCGCTGCAAGGGCGTCATCTTTGCTTGCTGAACTGGGTTGGTTGGTGCGGGAACTCTACAGTTGTAGCGATGAGTAGCGCCCACCAAAAGCAATTTCGAAACAGCTGGCGCGTTGGACGGTGCGCACGCGCAAAGGGCAAGCGGAAAGACGCTGTCCTGCTTCTCCTGAGGTTCGATCGACAAGGCGCGATAGATTGACGAGAGCGCGCAATGTCAACAAACCACGCGTTGAATTGGCGAGTGGTGAGCCCTTGTCCTTGAATCGATTGAGGGTGGTGGCGGAGAAGTGGTGCGATATTGATGTTATCGATCAATTTCCAGAGAACAATGCTGATAGTCGCGATAGTCGGATCGAAGCGCGCGCAATATTTTGAATCGCCTGAACACGACTGTGCGCCTGGAAGATGTGTCGCGGTAGATAGGAAATGGGTGTCGGTGTGGAGCCGAGTAGCGAGAAGCAGGGTCGTTGCGATTGTCGAAATTTGATGTGAGTCGATGGCTAGATTGTTCAAGCGACTTCCATCACATGGTCTAGAGACTCTGTCGAAACGAAGCAGGCGCACCAGCGAAACGAGGGACTGGAATGCGAAGTAGAGGTGGAATGACGAGAGTGAAGCCGGAAGAAGAGGAGACGATGTGGGCGGCAGAGCGGGCAGAGTGGATGGGTGCGCAGGCTTGCGGGCTTCCAGTCGCTCTTTCCCACACAGCGACTCTTGTGTCCCGTGGGCACTAGGTGCAGGTGTGACTGGCTGGAGGGGCCACTTTTCAGGGGGTATTCGCTGGCTTATCCACCTAGGGTGTGCACTGCCAGGGCTAGCGAGGGTGCAATAGGATGCACTGTAACGCAAATCCTTCAGTTGACCTCTCTAATAAACCGTGATGGAAACCTCCCATTGCCGGTGTTTCTTGCTATAGTTTTCGTCCAATTTTTCTGCTATTTCAAGCGCACAGAAACAGGACCACGAAGGGGCTGTGTTTGTTTCTTGACGCCAGCCATACGAGGGGTGAAGTGACGAAGCGGTGGACAAGACGGTGTAGGAGGAGACTACGGAGTAGACCCTCATCAATGCTCTGGGTCCCAGTCTGAGCAGACCGGGGTTCTGGCTAATAGTTGGCTCTGAATTCTCATTCAGCGTATCTCGCGGTGAAAGGAACGTCTAGGATCATGCAGTAGAGGCCCGCTTCTTGGGGTGCGTATACTATCAGGACGAAAATGAGTGGCGTGCGTCGTCCCTCTTCTGCAGTAGGATGAAAGATACGGACCTGCGCTCTCACACCCATTGCTTGCGAAGTGACTAAGCAGAATATGACAGCAACTCAGCAGGGGCGTTTTTGAAGGACATTTTGCATTACTACTGCCGAGAATTGAACATTGTGCGGTGGAGTGGCATGTACAAGCAAGTGCTTGTGTTAAAGTCTAATAGCTCGCTGAGGATGATCGTTTACAATACCTGCACTTTGGGTACCGTGATGATTGAAGAAGCGCATAAGACACTCGAACAATGGTACGGCCCGCTTTGACAGCCTTGTGAGGTGGTTCTGAGACTCCTGGTCCAGTGACCACTCCAGCCACCAGTAGATCCCGACACGCGCTGTGATTATCCACAGCCAGTGAAGGGGCGTGCATTTTGAATGCGGTGGCTGGTCAATAGAATTGCGAGCTTCAGCAATGTGCGGTGCAAGGGGCTCATAAGTGTTGCGGCAAGCCAGAGCTGCTCAGATTGGATGGTGCGTGCGTGCGTGGGTGTTTGACAAGTGAGGTTGAAAGCAACCCAATGTCGACAGTTGAAAGGCGATGGAGCCACAAATTGGTTTGAAGCATGTCAATTTCGTTCAGTACATAGGTTTCTAATTTCTGAGCGGCCTTTATCAGACATTTAGACAGTGACTATGGACAAAACGACTTCCAACATGGGCAAGGAAATATGTAGTCGGGCTTAGTGGGATCACGATGATATTGAAGTGAGGCACTTTAGACGCGTCGCAAGAGACGCGACAAGAGCGCGCAAAAACGCGGTTGCGGAAGTGGCCGCAGCGGGGGACGCAGGCCGGCCGGGCCTGACTGAGAGAGTGTGGGGGTAATCGAGCTGTCAAAGCTTTCTGATCCCTGATTGGCTTCTGTTTAATCCAAGAATGGCAACTGCACTTGCAGTGTAAGTCGAGCCTCCTGAGCCTTGGGTCGTGTGCAAGTCGTAGACACACTGGGACAGCTCACGTGCATTCAAGATCTTGACGGACTGCCAAGCTCGAGTCTCTCAGTAGATCATCCGAAAGACTGGTGTGACTGGGGGTGCACTTCATGTCTTTTCATAGCACGACTGAGCTTTGAATGAGAGTTGATGAACCAAGATAAACCACCCTAAAATAATTTACGGGTTAGGCATAGACAGACTGCTTCGTAATTTATTAGTCGCGTGGGCATCTTCTCGTGCACGTAGGGAAGAACCGACTATAGAAAACAAGTTTTGTTCTACTCTTGTTGTTTGTCGCAGGACATGTGCAATACTCGCCGTCGAATTCGGAGAATACATCTGACTGATCTTGATACTGTCCTGCGCTACCTTGCCGCTGATGTCTTGAGCACTCGCTACTAGTACTCATTACTACAGTAGTCACCTACGAGTCTACACAACTCATATCGTTAGGTGACGGACCATGAAGCCAACCACATGTACGGTTCCAGTGTGATTCCACAAGCCTGTCCTCTCGAGGCGAAAAAGGGACAGGCACATAACATGTCTTTGGTCGATCTTGCCGCCTCGGGCTTTTCTTCTGCACAGCGGCAGCTACTGGAATATTTGCCCCGCGATCGGGCGAACTCTCGTGGAGTCGTGGCACTCTGGTTAGCAAGTATCCCCGGTGCAGGCCATGCGGCGCGCGGGGAAGCCCGGGAGCGTTCGGACCTTGGTCATCAATAAAAAATTCACTACTAACTACGTAGTTCTTTAAGCCCAGGTAACCACCGCTGTGAAATGCCCAGACCATACTAACAGGACCAGTACTACCTGGCACATAGTTGGGCATTCGTGCTTCCGCCCCTCGGGATCATCAGGCTTTAGATACTGTGCCGCCCTTTGGGCATAGCAGCGTCTAGGCCTGTCGAGCTGCATGATGGCATCAAACAGCACGGATGTAACATATTAATATGATGATCTCCAGCCTGTCGGACACATATTTCGGGTGCATCCGCCCCCGTCGACAGCCGCCAACACACACATACATGTCTACTTACGACGCGGTTTTCGGGTGCTTATATCTGTATATGCATGTCGAGACAGGCTGGCGGTGCAGATTTTACAGTCCTAGCACATAATATTGGCGATGCAGCTGGACTGTATGATCTTATTCACTGGCGTGAAACTCAATCTCCGGCTCAGCCTAGCCCTTCAATACACGTACATCAGTATGCGTTACATGTACGAAAGGCCTCACTTGGTTCGCCACTCGACAAGGTCTTTCCAGAAGCCTAGGGTAGGTTCGACAGGCAGCGGATCTGCTAACAGCTCCAAGTCACCATACACCAGCATCCGACCACAGCTGTCCCGGACCATAGTCCTACGGACAGCAGCATTACCTGTCAAGTTATCACAGGTACTTTTTGTACAACGACTATAGCTGATCAGGACGTGGACCTGCCGGCTCCCCTTCCGACATGATTATGCTGCATTCCCACCCAACTGCCCCACTTGCTTCCTTCCGTTCAGTAGGGACTGCATGTTGTGCAGGTAGCGCCTGCCACACAAGCCTTCGTCGTCGCTGCCAAAATCCATCATCCTCACACAATTTTTGGGTCACGCTCGTCTCCAGTACCAACAGGTGACACTCGTCCACCACCATAACGGCTCATACCTTACCATCCATCACAACTGCATGCCACTTCACGGTACCGCACGCCACCCACAGCTCCACTGCATCGAGCGCCTCGCTTGAAGGATCCGCCCACGCTCACGGACCGGTCAAATCCCTCTTCTCGGGCTTTGCAGACAACCCGCGAAGCCAGCGGTGACGGGAGAGTCAACCTGGGTGCCATGGAATCCTCCGGTATTCTTACTATCGACAATCTCCCGGAGAAGCTACCATCGTGGCACCCGGAAGATGACAGCCATGTCTATGCTATTGTAGACATGGGCAGGTACATCGCACCTGGCATGCGAGCAGCCTAGAGAAGCCACTGACATCTCCAGTAACGGAATACGTTTTTCCATTACTTCTCTCGCCCCTCCAAAGGCCCGTCTCCTGACGCCCATTTACTCTACGCGCGCGGCCATCTCGCTCTTTGATGCTTTGACTCCTGATGACCATGGTGGTCTCATCTTGCCATCTGCTACCATCAGCGATGTGGCGATCGCACTTCAGGACTTTGCACGGCTGGCAGAGCTCCACCAGGTTCCCCGTCAGAACATGATGATATTCGCGACGGAGGCAATGCGCCGCGCGTCCAACGCCACCGAGTTGCTGGCCGCCGTGGCCAAGGCTACCGGCGGCTGTGGCGTTCAAATCCTCGAACCGGCTGTCGAGACTCTTTTCGGAGCCGTAATGGGATCGAGAAGCGCCCTGAATACGGTAGACCGCGGTGCTCTCTTCCTCGACCTGGGAGGAGGCAGTGTCCAGATCACCTGGGTCGACACGTCACTTGCTGCGTATGAGACCAAAGCCGCCTTGGCCGGTTGCAGCATGCCGTACGGTGCTGCAAAGCTTACTCGTATCCTCGAAGAAGGAGACGCTGAGCTTCAGATTTCTGAAAGCAACAAGCTGCACGAGTTGATGAAATCAGCTTACGACCAGCTGTGCGTCAAATTCCCAAAACTACAAGACATACGTCAAGCCTACGAAAGCGGAGACACGAAAGCTTGTCTCGATGTATATATGTGTGGCGGAGGTTTCCGTGGCTACGGAAGCATGCTGATGCATGCTGATAAGCATCAGCCTTACCCCATACCATCCATCGGGACGTTCACGGTCGACGGCGCTACCTTCAAACAAGTCGACGAGATGATTCGAATCAACAAGGAGCATGACGGAAAGATATTCGGCCTATCCAAGAGACGCCGCCGTCAGTTTGATGCGATCACTCGAGTTGTCAAGGCGTTCATTGCAACCGTACCAAATATTAATCGCGCCACATTCTGCCAGGGGTCGAATCGAGACGGCGCCCTGATGATGAAGCTTCCCCGCGAAATTCGCGAGAGCAACCCTCTTGTGGCAATAGCTGCTGTCTCCGCCCAGGAAAAGCCAATCTTCGACGGAATCTTGAGGAAGCTCTCCCAGGCCCTGCCTCAAGAAGTATTTGCATCCCCCAACACTCCCACAGTCTTGTCAGATGAGGGCCTAGGGTGCCTCTACATTCGAGAAATATGGGCTCGGGGCGGCTACTACGCCGACACCAATGCATCTTATGCCCTACACAACGCCATCTCCCGAGATTCTGATGCACCCGGGCTGACTCACTTGTCCAGGGCCCTCCTTGGCCTCACTGTTGCCGCAAGGTGGGGCCTAGGCCTTGGTCCGGCCGACACGAAGCTTGCCGAAGGTCTCGAAGGTATCATCTCCCGCAACAGTAACGATGCTGTATTTTGGGCCAAGTACATAGGCGCTGTCACCGACGTGGTTGCCAGCATTTTCCCCGTCTTTCCGCGAGACATTGACCGATTCGAGAAGTCACTCAGGTAAATTCCACTCGAGTCGGAAAGATTAGTTCTTCTCTAACCTATGGAACAGTTTTGAAGCTCACATTCGACCCCGAGAAGAGAAGAAGGATCGTCTCGAGTTTGATATACTCATATCAGAGGACATCCTTGCGCAAGTCAAACCAGCTGGCTTAATAGAGAAGCTTAAGAGCACGATGAAAAACGGGACCAAAACGCCTGAAAAGAAAATCGTTGCTCGGATCGATACGCTAAAATCATGATTTCGTAACGTCGTCACCCTTTTCCAACACAGAAATACCACCAGTGGGAGAGACCGGCCACTTCACCCCAACCCATACCAAGAGACGCTTGTCTTACTCATAGTCATCGTCGCAGTCGTCTTCCGCCCCCTTGGATCTCGAGGACTTGGGCGCCCGCTTCCTTGCATTCAGCTTTTTGAGTTCGTGGTTGACGACGAACACGCAAAGTCTCTGGTCAATCTCATTCTGCGAGCTTTGAAGGCCCTGCAAGAAGTGCTTGCGGCTGTCGAGGAGGATCCTGCCGCTGTGCTCAATGGCTTTGTATCGACACCCATTGTACTTGGACGACCTGAGCCAGTCCAATGACACCTCAAGGCTCTTCTTTGTTCTGAACTGATAGTGATAGAACGTTGCCAGTAGCGGGAAGAACCCGTCTGAGAGGTACTGAACTCGAGCGTACAGTGGGTGGGCTGGGTCAAAGTCAGCTTCCAAACGAGCAGCAAGGGTTTCAATCGAGCTCACAAGAACGAGGGTCGGCGACGCGCGACAACCAATCCCAAGACGACGCTGTGAGGTCTCGGTAAAACAGCATCAATTGCCACAGGCCTGCCCAGAGAGCCAAGCGGTCGTCCTGCTTGGGCTGGTGGGCGGGGGTGGTGAGGTTGTCCAGCTGCCGCAAGATATCACCCTCGATGGAGTGAATTGCCTTCATCGCAATGTGGCGAAGCTGCGCCTGCACCGAGATTGGCAAGACACTCACCCTTCCGGACGGATCGCGGCACCCGAAAGAAGATGTCTTCCAGATACGGTAGAAGCACCCCATGCGGTGGATAAGACACACCAGACGGTGCTGAGGCAGGCCGCGGCCCTCATTGGCATAGTCCATGAGGAACCTCTGTACAGCACTGGGGAAGGCATGGTCCCGTTCATGGTAGATTTGGGCCTCTACCCATTGCTGCAGTTGGGAGTGGTCGACGAGCTGACCCGAGGCACTGGACAGGGAGACCTTCTCGATGGGGTTGTTTCCATCCTCGTCCCTCCAACGATACGGCTGGACGTAGGCATGGAAAAACGGCGAATCCGCGCTCGGCTTGGTGGAGAAGAACACCTTGATGGGCTTGACCACACCGGTGAAGATACGTGGACGGGCCTCTGCGCAGAAAGCGGCCTCCTTCTTGGGGTTCCTTGACCAGATATCTGCAGCGCAAAGGGTCAGCCGACATGTGCGTGTGTGCAACTTGGGGTCTGTTCGTCTTACCAGGACCTTGACCGATAATGGGCCACAACTCGCTCAGACTCTTGCGGGCACAGACGAGATGAGAATGTTCCGGGAAGGCCTTGCGGCATGCGGGGCAAACGCCGTTCTCGTGGCACTGAGACATGTCTTAGCTTTTGACCACGGGACGCTTGGCAATGGCAGTCAGGGGACACCTACTCGAGTCTTGGATACCCGGCATGGTAGGCAAGCTCCACTCTTACGCACGTCGGCTGTTTGATCTGGGTTCTCCAGCTGCCTCGGACGCTTCGCCGGGGTTCGTCCAGACGGAAGCTTGGGACCGGGGCCCTGGTCGATCGGCCCTGTGGCACCTCCGGGAATGGGGCCCCGAACCTTGTGGTGCACAAGCTCCCGTCGGGATGGCTTGTGCGAACCATGCACGGGATATGCCCAATGCTCGTCGTGATGAGCACGGTAGCCCTTTGGACTGCGGCTCGCATGACGGGATGGGCGGTCATGGTACTCGGGCAGCTCATGGTCAGAATGCTCAGAGGGCGAGGTACTTCCGCCCTGAATGAGGTCTGGGGGAGAGGAGTGTCCCGAGTAAGTCGGGGAGGTGGTGGCATTATCTGAGCCGAAGGAGGGGCTCATCCTATAGAAGCGAGCCTCGAGGGCGTCACGCGAGGGAAATTCGGTGACAAGTTTGGAAAGGTGCTGGTGCTGGGGTTGCTGGGTGTAGGAGTAGGCGTGCTGGGGCCAGTGAACCGGCTCGCCGAGCAAGGCCGGGTAGTCAAAGACTTCGTTGAAGAGGGCATCGAGGTCCGGGGAAGGGGGAGCACGGGGGTTTTCTTGTCCAAACTGGGACAAGCCTCTGATGTGATCCATGCTGAACTTCCCGGTGTAAGTCATGGGGGATATCTGATCGGAATCTGATCTGGTGGAACCTTGGCTACCTGCGTGCGGCAGGCGTGTTGAGCATGCAGCTAGCTGTGCGTCTCGGATGGACGAGTCGACGACAAGATGGGATGGAAGGCTCTCCCGACGGTCAATCTTGTGCAAGAGCTTGTACGGGTTCAAGGACGTGGACTCGACACCAGAGAATAATTTGTTTGGCATCACATCGCCAGCAGGAGGGCGCTGCTTTGGCTCCCGCAACGGGGTCGACTTACACGGTTGCGCATTCTCGGTGCGGACAGGGGTCTCCATTGGCTACATGGCCTCTCCGACCCAGTCTTTCCACGCCCATCTGGCCTATCAACCACCCCTGACCGACCGAAAATTCAATTTCCAGCAATTCGACGTCGGCGGCGGTCATGTGACACCCCTCGCGAGCAACGTCGAGCCATCGCGCAGCCAGCTCGACCCAAGGGCGCAGCGCGGCTGACGTGCGAAGCGCCCCAAGACCGGGGATACTCGGTGTGCGCAAAGTGACAGGAATTCGTGTTGGGTGCGTTGAGTCACTCAATTGGCAATTTCGGCGGATACGCAGGTTGGGACAGGACAACCCCGGGAGGAGGCGCTCAACTGTAGCTTGGTTCATTTTAGCGCGACACCCTTCTTTCGGGATGGCCCGGACCGCGCAAGATCGCGCGCACCGTATTCTCGGTTCTCTACGAAGCGGAAAGGCTTGAGATCAAGCCTCGTCGGTCATTTCAAATTAAGACGAACCCAAGCGACGGCGACTTGAGAACGCGAATACCACTGCAGGGACATCTCCAAGACAACTCGATATTTGGGATTTGGAGTCTAGTCTACGGCGAGGTTCCGACACGGAAAAGCGCCACATCATTCCTCGACACACCTCTCAAGATGAGAAGAGAAGAGACTGGGCACGACATGCAAGAGACGATCGCCAAGGTGGCCCCGTCTGCACCAGTTGTCAACAGCAGACACAAGCAATTGCTTTTAGATCAGGCAGTCGGTTTGGCGTACCCGAGGTGTTGTTAACCTTGAAGGTTTCAACCTGTTGATCACCGTGTCATTCCATCATTTCTTGCTGCCTTGAGGTGAAGCACAGCTTGAGGGCAACGATATCGTGAGGCATATTATTCGTGCTCTTCTTTCTTGTCTCTTCCAAGCGCCCTGACTAATTTGTCAATTGCGGTGCATGTTGTTCTCTACTTTAGACTCTAGATCAGCTCGTTGGACCGTGTGTGGCAGGCTACCCTGCACTTGATCGACGTTCATGACTTGATGCTATCCGTACTTGTGCCTGGTTCTCCTGTATTGGCGGGTGGAATATAAAGCCTCGCCGCTTTTGATTCTTGTACCCCCAGTCGTTGGAGAACATGTGCCACCAGCGCGCAAGCGATGTTCGTTGTCGAGTTGGTGCGTCACGGGCTTCTGTGCACAGCCGTTTGTTTGGAAGACGTTGGCAATTGATGAAACTGATCCATCTACTTAGACATAAAATTCATAGGTCATGATTACTATATAAACCATCGGCACAATTGACCACGGATACTCAAGTAAATTTTGTATCCAAGCTTTAGGGTTGACTTTGGAAGATGTGTCACTATGACTGCCCATGATACCCCAGCACTTATTTCTGGGCAAATTGCCCGAAACATCGAGGCGCATCAAGAGAATATCACGTGATAGGGACAGTTCCACCAACTCAGCGGAATCGTGCCGCCCAAGAACCGCCTTTCTGCGATCGAGGTCGTCCCGGATGCCCGGATAACTGGGCTAAAGCGTCCAAGCGCAACGCAGGTTCAGTTCTGTATCCGCGACTAGGTCCATTCGATTGCGCGTTCCTGAAGCCACCCGATGCACGCACAACGCAGGGACCAAGCGAGCGAGGGGCATATGTTCCTTATAGTATTCGTGTGTGTAAGCCGGCAGGATGTCCTAGACCTCTTGTTCCTCCAAAAGGGTACGGATTTGAAGCATGGACGGCCTTGACCGACATCTTCTAGATTACTAGACTAGTAATTAGGAGCAATTGCCACAGATCATTGGCAGCGAACACTCGTACGAAAACAGGGCAGAGTGCAACCTACTAGTAAACCTAGTAAGCACAGGCTGCACAGCCTCCACACCTGACCAGCGAGATCCATGGCGGACCGAGCAAACTGATTCAGGAAGGGCTCACTTGCTACAGTAGTAGTAAGTGCGTACGTATCTCATGCATGGTTGTACCCATCTCCACCAGCGGAATATTGCCAGATTCTGCCATTCTGAGCGGATGCTCAGCGGGGGACAACACCAATCCGGAAAGATGCAAGATTCCCCGCAACGTCAGAAGGGTGAAATTGTGCATATCGGCGGTCGGTCTTCGGTGAATCCAGCTGCTGCTGCTGAATGGAGTTTTTGAGGCTGAAGAGGCCTGGGTTCCTCCCCGGCCTACAGGAACTGCCGGTCACGAAAAAAAGGGGAGCAACCAGGAAGGGTTCACGGCAATGGATGACATGGATAATTAAGCGGAAGCGAAGATGCTATTTTCATCGTCAGATGGGCAATTGCATGAGCGATATAAGGATAACAACATGCGAATTGATTTGTGAAACCCTGAAGTCTCAACGCCCCCACATCCAGCCATTCGGGGTCTGGAAGATCCCGACCGCCTCCCTAGTGAAAGTGTGAAACACGCGGCCAGAGTGTCGCACACCTTGTCATGGAATTGTCCAGAATTGTTGGACAACAGCTCGTAAAGTGGGAACACGTGCAGTCGCTAACTGGCGATTCGTGAAAACTACGCGGCCACTGCGCACTTTAGACCCAAAGCACAGGGGGGGTACGTAGTCATCAGGATCTGTGGTGGATTGGACCACGGAAATGAAGAGGGCTGATGGCAGTCCTGCTTGTCCTGCTTCTCGAGGGACGGAAAGGTAATATTCCTGTCAGCACAACGCGGCGCACGACTGGAAGACCAGGAGGTGGACGTATGCGTAGTCGATCTATCATCTATGTACATAGAAGCGACGAAGCGGGTCAATCACCAATCAGTCGCTGCAGGCAACGCATGACGAACTATTTGTGAATATGCGATTACCACTGTCCGACAATTGCCAGGTGGCATGGCGTAATCAATATGCGTTGCTGCACGCGGCTGTGAAGGTACTGCTAATTAGCTGACCGCCGTGACAACAAGTGGCACAGACCCTTTGTCCGGGAGTTGGTTGTATTGTGTTGGTGGTTAGTAGCACTTCATATGCCGTACTTGCGTGGCAGTTTTCGCCTATTTTGGGCCTAGGACTGATGAGGGGTCCTTGACTCCTTCCCTTCAGTTGATCCTGATATACGTACGGAGGACGGCGTCAAAAGTTTTTAGTCGCTAAGACGCTAGAAGATCAGGGATTAGCTAGACCTATGGAATTTTTATACTATATTAAGTATAAATCTACTAGGCCGACTTTCCCCTTACTATCGAACGTTATTATAATTAATAAAATATAATTATTTTTTCTTTTAAAGCCGACCGTAAAAATACTATATACTAATATTATAATAAAGGCTATAATTATAAGCCTTAAGGCCTCGAATAAGACTACTATCGAGGTAATAGCCCTTATAGGCGTTAATAAGAGTATAATTAATACGATATTTACCCGCGCTATAGCGCGAGGCTTCGACCCTACCGTCCGGCCGATCGTCCTTATAAACGCCCTCTTTACTAATAACCCTTATTCTAGCTATCCTTCTAAGTAGACCGTTACTAAAGAAAAGGTCTTAAAGCTTATATGCCGCGATCGATATAAAAGAGAGAAAAGCTACGCTAATATTGCTAGCGATCTTAGTTACTTTAGTATTAAGATATCGGCTACGACGATCTAGCGAATACTCCGTAAGGCTAGCTTCCGAAAGACTAAGCTTATAAAGAAGCTTAGTTTAATATAGAAAATAAAAAAAGAATAGCTTAAATAATACCTTGAAAGGAAGGATTAAAGCCTCGATAATTAAAAGAAGGTAATCTAGTTGTTACGACCCAACATGCGACCGCAAGCGCCTCTCACGTGACCCCCGCTTTTTTCCTCCTATCATGCGTTACCCGCATGCTACGCAGGATAGACGACTATAGGCGACTAGCGACTATAGTCGACTACGGTATAAAGGCGCTCGTAGACGATAGTCGACTATCGTCGACTATATAACATTTACTTAGTATATAGGAAGCCTAGCTTTACTATAGTTAGTCTCTACTAGCTCCTTAGCTATTAATATAATTATCTACGTAAGATCTACTATCTCGTATATAGACTATAACCCGACCGCTTAAGTTAATAATATCCTAGTATACTTAGTTTATAAACCGACCTTAGATCTACCTACCCTATAGTTAGTCTAA